ACTTGGCTTTCATCAATTATGATGCTGAATGGATTTTCTCTTCTTCAGCCATTGGGATTCGAGATTCCTAAAGCATTTTGCTTTGATGAATCACATTTGTAATACAATCACTTTACTCATCCCCACCTAATACACTGTAACACATTTTCCCCTCCAAGATCTCGCCATAGTCATTTCACAAGAGAAATAAAAAAAGTAGTCATTTCACAAGAGAAAGAAAAAGAGAAGTGATTAAAGGAAACAGGACAGACAGTGAGTAAGCCATGAACAACTGGCCAAAGAACTGTAAAACTCCTGGCAGATCATTTCCATGTGTTTCAATTAAGGTTCCATGAGAAGTGGACAAAGAACTAGAGAGAATAGCAATAGTTGTATCCATTCCCTCCTTTTGTAAATATAGTTAGAGCCAAAGAATAAAAAGTACAATTACTGGAGAACTTGCAAATTTCAACACAGAAAAACATTTGGGATGTATCCAACACAAAGAGTCTAATTTGTAATCTCATCAGCCAATCAGAGAATATTTAAAAGCACTTTACATTTTTAATATACATAGAAAAAAGGACTAAGGGTGTATAAATAGTAGTTCTCCTTCAAAGGTGGGATGACTAAGTAGATTTTTTTTCTTTCTTGCATGTTAATTATGTATTTGTTACAGACAACTTAAAAATGACTTGCTATAAGGAAAGAAGACGATTTAGTACAAATGACGAGGAAATTAAAATCCATAGATCAAACTGAGTATCAAAACGTGATAACAATTCTACCAAATTTTTCTAATGATAGTAAATGTTCTACAAACTTTATTTCCTCCATTAAAAGGTATTAGCAGTTGAATTGTGTCCCCCAGAATTCGTATGTTGAAATCCTAACCACCAGTACCTCAAATGCGACCTTATCTGGAAACGGGGTCACTGCAGATGTAATTAGAGAGATGAAATCATTAGAGTGAGCCCTAATCCAATAGGACTGGTGTCCTTATAAAAAGAGGATGTTTGGACACAGCAAGACACACACAAGGAGAACGCCACGTGAAGAAGGCAGAGACGGGGACGATGCTTCTATAAGCCACGAACACCAAAGACGGCAAGCAAACCTCCAGGAGCCAGGAGAGGGGCGGGGACCAGATTCTCTCTCGCAGCCCTAGGAAAGAACCAACCCTGTCCACACCTTGATCCTGGACTTCCAGCCTCCAGAAAGGTGAGACAACCCATTTTTAGTGTGGAAGCCACTCAATTTGTGGTACAAATTTTTAGAGCAGCCCCAAAAGATGATACAAAACGTTTCAAAGCCTTAACACACAGAGATATTACCCTCCGACCACATTCAGTTTTCCTTAATCTGTCTTCTGGGAAAGAGCCCTTGCAAAATCCGTATTTCCTCCAGATGCTCCTCCTCCCACCCCTATGACTGCAGTTACATAAGGCCTCATCATACAGGAGTTTCCTCCAGGAGAACGTGAGAACAACTGACACATGCCAGACCCAGACCTGACCTGCCTTAAGACCACGGCACACTTCCTCCTTCTCACCAGCTCCCATCTGGCCATGGTGATGACCCAGTTTTAACCATACAGATGAGACTGTGCCTTAGGGAACAGCAGGTCTCTGTCTTAGAAGGAATCTGGGTCTCTCACTAACAGCATGGGACAATGCCACCCACCAAGCGGGAATATTCTCCTTAGAATGTTACATGAAAGTAAAATAAAGAACTGTTCTTTTTTTTCCCTTTTTGTTATTGTGTCATTAAAAATTTTACAAAAGATGTACACACTTACTTAAAAATTGTACTATGTGGAAAGGACAAAATAAAAAGGTGTGATCTCTGTTGATGGTTTTATTTATCTGAAATGTGTACCATTTCAGACCTATATTTTATCTTGTTTTTATATGTATTTTGCAAAACAGAAATCATACTATTTACATGTTTGCTTTTTGATTCAGCAATACATTGCAAGTATCTTTCTGTGTCAATGGGTAAAGATTTACTTAGTTTTTTTTAAACACTGCATATAATTTCACGATGTGAATACACCAAAATTTATTCAACCATTCCCCTATTTTCGAATTTTTAAGATGCTTCTAACTTTAAAGAACTGTTCTTTAAGGCACGATATTGTTGGCATTATCTGCTGTAACAGGTTAGTCTTTTACCCTAATAGAGTATCAGCGGAAATAAAACATTTTAAACACATACAGTAAAACAGTATACAGAAAACCAGGGAGATCTCTGCAACAAACAATGAGTGTGACGCCTGGGAGAAGTCTAAGTGTACAGTAAACTGAACAACTGCAAATCATAGCTCCACATTTGAGACAATACATTTGATGATCCCAGTAGTGATTTTACATATATTTTGAGGGTCCAAAAAACCCAAAGTAACATATACAAGTCTCATCCTCCCCTTCCAATCTTCTCCTTAGGGAGAGGCAGTATGAATCCGGGAGGTATCCTTCCAGACTTAGATATTTTTAAAGTCAGGATAGTCAAATTTTAAACTCAGCTCAAAGAGAGATTCTAATTTTGGTTTGTGATACACACCCCAGAGTAAAAAACCAAAATATATTCTAATAATAAGCATATAGAACCTTCACATTTGCATTTCCCTGGGAGAAGAAAAGCATTTTTTCAAACATGCTAGTGACCAGCAATGTGGTTTATTTTCTGTTCCCAAATGTTTCCCCAAATGCCATTAATTTTAATGGAAGATGTGTGACTAGAAGAAAGTTCCTGGAAGAGAATTCAATACTTCTCTGCTCCTTCATTCTACTGGAGACAGACCATAATGTCTACTTCTGTCTGGTCAAAACAATGAAAATTACTTTTCTGAAAGTTGGGATGCTTGCCTTTTAGTAAGCTGCAGGGTTTTTTCCAGGGTAAGTATCCAAATCTTATATTGACACTTGTCGATCAGGAAGATACTTTACTGAACAAAAGAAGAAAATGAGGAGATTAAAAAGTACTCCATTTAGTCAGAGACTTCATTAACCGGTGACCAAGAATGTAATCTATGATTCCAACTCACAGTTTGTGGGATGCACACATGTTCCTGGATTCAAACATGTGTTTCCATTTAAACTGCTGGAATGTATATATGGCTCTGCAAAGAGGGATAAATATTAGCAAATCTTCTAAGAATGAAGGTCCTTTATGACCACATACACTGTGTTTCGATTCAGGTTTTAAAATGTCTGAGTCACACAAAGCTGACCAGGCTGCGTTTTACATCTCTTTGCAAGTTAAAGAAGAACTCAAAAACAGAAAAAAAAGAAACAAAAATCCTTCCATAGATTGCATCTGTTTGTACCACCACAGCCAACCCAAGGCAAATCTGCGATTTCTGCTATTTGTCTTCTCTTTTCTTCCCCTTGTGGCAAGGCTGCCCCAGCTAAAAGCAGAGCATTCTGAATTGCCCAAGTATTGAGTACAAGTTGGACATGAACCAACGTCAGACAGTGCCAAGGAAGGCGGATTCAGACATAGTACATAAACTTCAACAGCATGAGCCTAAAAAGCAGGGGTGGAAAACTGTGGTCTGGCACATTCTATTTGGCCAGCACAGCACTTTTAAATTTTTAAAATTTAAATCCCTTTAAGAAAGGCCGCCCAAACAAAGAAGGTACCTCATCATATAGGATAGTGCACCTCACCTTGCACTATGAACTCTCCGATGTCAATATGCCAGCCAAATGTTTGAAGTATGAATGCTGCATGAATTCTTCCACATCTGAGCCTTTTTCCATTCTGTTTCTTCACCTAGAATGCCCTTCCCACCCACCCAAGCCTACCTCCGCTTGGCTAATTTCTACTCTTCTAAAGACCTCGACAAGTCCTTTTTAATCTCCTCAAGTCCCAGTCAAGTGCTTAATCCTGTACGGCCCAGACTTTCCTGCTATTTATGCGGCTTTATCATCAAACAGCAGACTAATTCCTTTAGGGCAGGGACTACGCCGTGCTCATTTTCGTCCTTCCAGTGTGTTGCACAACACAGCAGGCGGTAAACAAATATTTTCAGAATGAAGAAATGGCAATGTCCGTATCAGCTCTGAAAATACTCGCTTTCAATATCCTTGGAAGAGAATGCAGATGAATGATGAAGTTGACAAAAAAAAAAAAAAAAAAAAAAATGCAGATCACACAGAAGGCAAGAGAATGAGGAGGACTGTAAAAGCCACATCTGGTCACACAGGTGTTTTCCAAGAGTTTGGTGACCCTCTACAGTGATATTTAACCTCATCCATAGTTGCTGCTGTATTTCACTCTGGGACAAACTGTGTTATTTCTTCCTACACACATGCCTTCTGGAAACCAACAACAAACACACCAATAAATTCAACTGAACAAAAGAAAGAAGAAGGGGAACTCGAGTGAATTTCTTTGAAAAGACAGACATCTTCCCTTACATAAAACACTTATTTTAAAATAGAGCTAACCAGAATTAATCAACTGCTCTCCACACTATCTCAAATCATTTTCCATCAGTTCCTATTTCCCTCTATGACTGGCCAGGCTGGCTTCACTGAAGGTCAGAACTCACGGAGGACAGCCGGGGACAGAATGGACTTGGTTACCAGTTGTGAGCAAGCGGTCTAAATGGTGCATCTTTTGTCAATTTTATTACCTCGCCCATGGTCAGGCTTACCAGAAATAAAGAAGCTGTGAGGGACTCCTTCTCTCCAGTCCCCTAGGTCAGGTACGTGTTTGGGGAAGGAGGAAACAGGCGGTAAAGAAGATAATCTGGGCAGCAGATCTGGCAGTCCTCACTGCCTCCTTGCCTCCAAGGGAAGAACTTCATTAAATTTGCCTAGAAGGAGCCGCCTTTGAATGGTTACTCCCAAACAGCCTACCACCCTTTCCTTGCCCCAAGCGTCTCCAGCTATCTTATCAAAACCTACTCTCCTTCCTATGGAAGGGGCGCTTCCAGGGGCTTCTAGTGTAGCTGCTGAGACAGGTACATTTCTCCTTAATTATCGCCAAGGCACGAGTAAAAAGCGACTTACCTTCTGAAAAAAGTCTTCCCCACTTTTGCCTTTTCCTTCAGCAGCAGCTGTAAATAAAAATGTATACATTTAAAATAGTTTCGTTTTTCAATCTATGTATTCAAAAAACTCTCGAGTATCAGGTATGAGAATATAAAGGTAAACAAGGTACCAGCCTTGCTCCCCCAAAGCTCAGTGCCTGTCGGTAGGCCTCATCTGTAATGCAAAACGGATACAGAATAAAATACTAATCCAATCAATCAGACATCTTTAGATAAGTTCACACTCCATCTTCTTGTCTGAAAGCCTCACAAGTCTCTATTTTCACACATAGATGAAAGTAATCTTGTTTTCTCATAGTCAAGGAACTACATACATGAACAAATGCAACTACCAGTAGAATGAGCTGTAGTGCTGTGAGCACCTCCTGTCTAATCAGTGCCAGGCGTGAGGCTGCCTTTTCAAGTGATGGCTCATCTGACAAGGCCTACTCAGAGCAATTTCAGCTTTATGCTTTGCAATGACTGTATAATCTACTTGGATTTCAGCTGGCATCACACACTACACTTTTAACTCACTTCTTTATTCACATTTACAAAGAGAGAGACAAAACAACAAGAGTTAAAAAGTCATGGTGAAGGCCACAGATGACAAAATTTCACCTGAGATTAATGTGAAGGTCATTGCATTTGAACAATCGTTTTCATATCTGAATGGTAGCCTATAAATAAAGAGCAAGCCCAGTTCTTTACGTGCAAAAGTTTTACGGTTCTGTGAACATTTTCTTTTTAATCTGTGGAGAGACAGGAACAAAGAGCTAAGGGCACCTTGCTTGCAATAGCATCAAATTGCACCTTTCACAAGGCAAACACCAGGTCTCAGATTCAGGCACAGGGTGGAAGAGTTCCCTCCCTGCCCAGGACAGAGAAACAAGCAGGATCAAGAACTTCTGGAAATTGAAACCCAGAAGACTGTGGTACCCCAAACACCTAGTGGGCAATACCGTCAACGGGCCTGCCTGTAGGTGCACGAGTGTGTGGGTGTGTGGGTGTGTGTGTGTGTAACAAGGGCACTTGCTAAAATTATTAAAGACCCAGTAAGTGTGGCAGACATTCCGTTAAGTAGAGAATTCAAAATTCAAAGAAATCCTCTCTGCCCTCAAAAAGTAGTAAGTATTAACGTCTAAATTCTTTTGTCACCAACTTTAATTTCACAGTTAAATGTAAGATATCTTCTATAATTTTGTAAAAATGTGTATTTTCATTGACATGTTTTCATTTAAAAAACAGAGCAGAGTACATGTTTCCGTGATTTCCAAAGAGAGTTTAGGGAAATGTATGAAAACAAGAGCTAGAAAGAAATAATAAATTATAAACTGTATTCTAATATGTGGCAGCTAAACAGCCCCTCAAAGATGTCATGTTCTAATCCCTGGAACCTGTGAATACACTACCTTACATATGCAGAAGGCATTTTGCAGGTGTGATTAAATTAAGGGTCTTGCGGTGGGAAGTGTATCCTGAATTATTCAGGTGGACCCACTGTAATCACAAGGGGCCCTTTTAAGAAGGGAGCATGAAGGTCAGAGTCCAAGAAGGCAATGTGAAGCAGAGGGAGAAAGAAGGACATGTGATGGCAAAAGGAGAGGGTCAGAGCAGAGAAAGATACAGAGATGCTACACTGCTGGCTTTGAAAGTGGGAAAAGGGGTCACAAGCCAAGAAACATAGGCGCCCTCCAGAAGCTGGCAAAGGCAAGGAAATGGATTCTGCCCTACAGTCTTTGGGGGAAGTGCAGCCCTGCCAACACCTTGGTGTAGCCCAATGAAACACACTTCTGACTTCTGGCCTCCAGAAAAGTAAGATAATAAATTTATGTTGTTGTAAGCCACTATACTTGTGATTTGTTACAGCAGCAAAAGGAAACTAACGCACAATTCCAATACCATTTTAACTTTACTCTTTGCACAATAACCACATCGTCAACAGCATGAACTGAACACAGGAACTGATGTGAGCATTTGAGTCACACACTTCCACAAACAGATTCTTTGTAGTTAACTCTACAAATTATGATTTTCACTCCAACTCAGAAATACACCAAAAGTAAAGCTTTTGAAAGAACATAAAAAGCAATTTCGAACAACAACAAAATAAGCAAAGCTCACTCTTTCTAAATAAACTAGCAAACTTGGTTGGTCCTAGCCAGAGGGGCCAGGAAGATAAAAGGTCGGCACCCTAACCTAATGACACAAATGCCTTGGGGCGCACTTCAACTCAGCTACCTCTTGGGCTGGCTTTATCTCTAACGCCAAAAATAGCTTAAAGGCACCCCTGCTCGATGACACAATTGCTTGGCAATGAAAATTGCATACTAGGGCACAAAGATTAGAAAAAAAATTCTAGTGACATCGAGGGAACTCTTCTTTAAAAAGAAATTTTAGAATCAAAGGTATTTTCAAAGGCCTATCAAGCAAGGCAGATAAACACCCCATTCACCCACAGGGAACCTCTTCGCAAATTAAAATTCATCAGTTTAAATTTCATGATACAATGAATGTTTTATTACAGAAACTTCCTTTAAACACTTATTTTGCTCATGACAAATGCATTATGTCACAACCTTGAAATGCCCCTTCATGCCAAGTCCAGCTAAACAGACTTCATAGAATGGCCTTTCAATCCCTGGATGAACAAAACGGGGGGAACTTCCTCAGTTAGACCCAAATTATAATTATGTTCCCAGAAAAACATCTAAAACTTAAGCAGAAACCTGTACCTTTAGCAACCTTATCATTTGAGGGGGAACAGGAGGGAGGGAGCCAGAGATGGCACACTCGTTGACAACAAAAATCTCTGGCTTTTTTCATTCCAAATGTTTATGCACAAGAAACTCCAAATCTGAGCCTGATTTTCCCCTAAAACCTGAGACTTGTCCATTTCCCAAGCCCACAAGGACCTGGTAAAAGCCTCTGGCTGGACTCTTGGGTAGCCACTGTCTCCAGTGCAAACCATGGTGAGTCTGTCATCAGTCCTTGCTGGGAGCATGCTTACCTCATTCCCAGGTTGCTGGGTCTCCTGCACAGCTTTTACTGACTCCACCCAAACAAAGCTGTCAAGGCCACAGAAGCCAATCAAGGGAGAACAACATTTCACCAGAAGTATTATCTGCCCTCCCCAAGAGGGAGCCTTCTGAGCTCAAATTTGAGAGTTCCATTCTCAAACTTCCTCTAAATTCCTCAGTATTAAAATATCAACTCCTCTTGAAGAAGTGAGAGACTGGGAGGGAGGAGGCTTGTGGAGTATTTCTTTCTCAGTATAAACTTAGGCATATAAGATGTTCATTCTACAGACCCAGAAAAGAAAGAGAAGTTCACTTTCATTCCACAAATATTTAAGTCCCATGCTGGTGACTCAAAATAGGCAATAAAGACCGTCATTCAACTTACAACCTTGGCCCATATATTCAAAGCCACCCAACAAGGGAGATCAAGACAGAATTAAAATTCGGTTCTAGAAAAAACTTTCCCTAAGATCTTTCCATATTCACAACTCTATCCAAATTAAACATACTAGAAATTTAATTTAGCTATTCTTATTCTGGACAACGCACTAAAGAGCTAGTCATTTTACTCTTAACCCAACACTAGAGCTGGGTAGCTACTGTTAGGACTAAAGCAGAAAGCGTGCTTCCAGGGAGACCATTTGAGAGATGGATTGCAAGAAAAAGTAGGAGGTATGGTAATTTCTTGACCCAATGGTTTTCTTTTTATTATGTTTGGAGGGGGAAACATCACCTGTGGAATGAGCCAACCCATACTTGATGTCATGGCGTTCCCTGACCTTTGAAGTCTGATTGTATTCCGTGGTAGAACAGTTCTATAGAGCCTTCATTCTTATACACTGATACACCCTCATCTTTTTTACTCACAGTAACATAAACACACACATAACGATTTAGCAGGCTTCTTCTAACTGTCTTTACAATATGACTTCTGCCTGATGCTCCAAAAGTTAATTGTTTGATTGTAAAAACCCTGGATTATTCCTGCCAATGAAAGCAACTGTCTTTATTTTCATGACACAGAACTCCAGGAATAAATTACTTCAATACTACTGAAACATGGCTTCATGGATTGTGCAGGTAAAGCATTTCATATTTTAAGCTGAACAATTCATTTTTTATGTTTATTATAATTTCTCCAATGCTTTGCCCTATTCTATTTCATATTTTTGCTTCATAAGAAATATGGGATGGCAAAACCCACGGCCAATAAAAACAGCAAAAGTTGAAACAGGTGTAAAATATTACAGTCTCCCAAACTACAGGGAAAGTCTAGTTAATTACTGAATTAAAGATGGGGGAAAAAAGCTCGATTTTCAGTTCTTCGCAGGGCAAATGGAAACTTATTTAAATTCATTATGAAATGCTTTTCCATAACATGTGATGCTTTCTTTACACAGCCAACTCTAAAAACACAAGAGCTATGTATTTCATATTTAAAATATAGTATGGAATATCTTTAAACATTCCTTTGAAAAGCAATGGGTTTTTTTCACCCTTGTGGAATTTGAGCAAGAAAGAAACCAAATTCAAATTACACAAACTAATTGAGACATAATTCTTCAAATCTGTGAAGAGGCCATCTTGAACTGCAGTGTGGGGCGCAGCCGTTTTGCAAGAGGAACTCTCGTCTGAAGCACTGGAGGCGAGGCCTCTGCACGTGGCACCCTGTGAGCAACTGAGAGTAGACAAAGGACTAAGGAAAGAAAAAAGCTGCCCCCTGCCTCCCCAGGAGACCCGCCAAGACCAGCAGGTGCACAGGTGACTTGTGGCCAGCATTTTGGACAGCACAGGTCTGGAGAGCAGGAGAGGAACAGGAAGACTACCCAGGATTAAATCAGATGAAATGATTTTGAAGGACAGTTAATAAAAAGAGAAGTGCAGAGGTCAGACAGCAGAAGCAAGAAGAACTACAATCCTGCAGCCTGTGGAACAAAAACCACATTCACAGAAAGACAGACAAGATGAAAAGGCAGAGGGCTATGTACCAGATAAAGGAACAAGATA